GTTGACACGAATTTTTGTCAAAGAGTATTATTATTGCAATTAAGACTTAACGGCTAAAATTGATTAACACGCGTACAACGCAAATCGTAAAAAGGAGTTCCAGGATAATTATTAAGGCAGTTACGAGGTTTGACGAATCGTCAATTGTCCCTTGCTGGACCATCTTCCCTTGTCGATCGCGAGATAATTAATGGCAAACCCGTCCAGGTCAATTAAGTCGCAATTACAAACGAAGTTTCGTTATGTACAACGTATATCCTAAACATCGAAGTGGATCTCGCTAGATGAAATTAGAACAGGCGAAAAATATACAGCGAAGTAGACCGAAGAATTCCTTTTCGCGAAGGTGATCCTTCTTCGCGTGCTTTAATTTTTAAAATATTTACAGTCGTGGACTGTTCGTCCCAGCTCGTCGAGCGGAAATGTATTCGTTAATACTAACTAGAACAACAAAGAACTAGTCGTTGAATTTCGTCTCTGCAACATGAAAATGAAGTTTCGCATTTTCCAAATGCCAGACGACAGTGATTACGAATATTATTGCAATGTTATTGGAGAGGCTCGCGCGAGTACAAAATAAATATTGTAGAATCCTGATGGAATATTTACAATGTCGATATCAAAAGTGCTCGTCCATCGCTCTCTTAAAGTCGCTTTCCAAAGTTATATTTATATTAAGAATTATAATACATAATTAAAATAACATATAATTCTTAATATATTTGTATAATTGAGAATATATATATATATGCATATATTGCTGTTGATTAGTGCCAGCTTTTGTCGTAAACTAGACGGAGGTATATCTTTAATAAAATATTACAGCCAACGCTCATACCTCGCGGATGTAATACCAATCAACGTTATCACATCTCCTAATTCGCATTCGATAATATTCCAAACTGTGCAACGTAATGACGAATGTCTAAAGTGACAAAGGAAATATAAAAGAAAAGAGACAGGGGTAGAATAAATAACACAATTTATTATTATACTCCCGTTTAAATAACACAATCGGAGCAAATAAAAATTGAGAATGTTAAAATAAAACAGCGATAACGCGCAGTAGACTAATATGTAATCGGGTAAAACAGTAATAAAATTTGTTATCTAGTAAAAGTAACATGTAAGATGGTATGATGACAGACGGGAATTTGCGAAACGCAAATTCCACGTTCGGGATCGTTATATCGGACACGATAAACGATCGCCGGCGCAACTCGGAGCAAAGTTACACGCTCGAGACGATCCTCGCTCGAGATCGTGGATCACGATCGATATCACGTAACGTATGAGCGTAAGCTTAAGCTAAAATCGGCAATATGCGAGCGTGCCGATTGGAGCGATAAGTTACAGGATGATAAGTTACAGGAGCATTCGAAGAACGCATGCACACAGAACGCATTCTCACACTTCTCATATTTTTTTCTCTCTCATTCTCCCTCTCCCTTTCTCACTTCCTTACAAAAATAAGTTGGACGGAACAGACAACGAGTATCCTCGTAATTTATCTTACCCCCGTTTCGAAAGCGATTAGGCCATCCGGTTGGAGGCTTGAGCTCCTCTTCCCTCACCATTCCGCGAAAACACTTGGCAGACTGCGAAAGTCTATCTGTGCTAAGGGTGCTATTACATGGCTTTAAGCGTGTGCAGGGTGATTTCATATGTCGCGACCCGAGGACAACGCGAAAGTAGTGAGGAGATGAATATGAGGTAAACGTCCCAGTCACCGGACACGTACCTATGTCCGGACATTTATAAAAAAAAACTTTATTTGTTTTCATTATTAATCTCAAATGCTTTTTTAAAATATCTTCTTCTTCTTATCGAAAACCTGTAGGTTTGTTTCGGTTACCCTCTTGGGACGCAGATAACCAAACTGTCTTTCCATCTTTTAAAAATATATTTTAATGTAAAATCTTTAAATACAATTAAGTTATAATATTGTACTAAAAAAGCATTTTAGAGATTGATAACAATAAATTTTGTAAGTGTTTAGACATAAATACAGTCGTTTACTAAAAGATTGCAACATTTTCTCTTGATGGCTTTCGGAATACAACCTGTTCATCGAGCGATTGGTTCTTACTTATGAATTTAATCCAGGCCTGTCCAATTTGAGCTCCGGAGTGATCGACGCAAAAAAAAAAAAAACAATATGAATCAATATGAATAAGATTTCGGAGAATGTAAGGTATTGATACGCGTCTGAGCAACGCTTATCAACACTTTACAATCCATGAAATCTTACATTAAATTTTTTGCGTCGATGGCTTTGCGTTTTAGCTCCAGAGCTCAAATTGGACAGGCCTGATGTAATCATTTATATTCAATATTACGCTCTATGAACAGGGTAAGTTCGAAAAAAAGTGTTGTGAGCTTTTAGTAAATGAGTGTGCATGCCCGGTCACTGGAACGTTTACTTAATCGATTTAATGAGAATTTACCCGTATAAAAATAGAAAACAAATCCCCTTTCACGGCTCTTGCCGTCAAATTTTTACACTTTCGCGAAAAATAGTGGATCTTCCTCCAAACCTGATAATTCTTACTGGTCTATTTTTCGTCCTTATTTCGAAATTCTGTCCGTTCCCTTTGATTTCTGCTTTTTGCGTAAAATTATTTCTCTACAATGTTCCAGCGTCACGAGCAAAACTGAAACGATTTTATTCTCTTTAACACGGAGATTCACATTTTTGTGGATTTATAATGGAAATTCCCTTTTCTAACACGGAAAAGGTCGGGGCAGAATATCGTTGCGAAGGTATGTGGTAGCGACGCGCTATACAAAAAAGAAAAAAAAGGAAAAAAAACACGTGAGACGTAAAATTAACAAAAAGAGAGTTGTACGCTTTATTACATAATACTTCGAGGCAACGTGTTAAAAGTTGTAATTAATATCTATATCTCTTGGGCACCGCTTTTTGCCCTCTCATTTGTGCAACGCACGATTCTCTTTTCCTCGAGGACGAGAAAATGTAGGGTCTCGCTACGCAGAGGATGATCGCATGATCGAGTATTGCACTATATGTAATAAATAATCCTCTATTGGCAGCAATATCAAGATCGCCTCCCGCTACGTTGGAAGGGAAAGCTCAACGATCGACTTAATACAGAAGACGTGATACACTTATTGATTTAAATAATACATAAAATCAGTGGTAAAAGATTCACTATTATGACGACGGTAACAAAAAAGAATATGCAAAGAGCGCCTCGGATTATCTTGCCTCGATCTCTTCCGATTTATCGCCTGTTTTCGAATAGCGATCCGCGTGACACAATCACCCGAACACAATTCCAAAAGCGAAATATTAAAAGTAAGAATATTAAAAATCGCAATATACGAAAAGGTCGTTGCCACGAGATCAAAAGACAGTGAGCGTTAATCCTCGCTGCAAATTGAATTTCAAAAATATCGCTAAGTGGATTCTCATTGTGGTCAAGACTCAAAATTACAAGTCACAAAATTACATGCAGGAATATGACAAAGAATACTATACAAAAAATAATTCTGCGATAAATACTGTTTTCGTTAATACTGATCCAATTTTCGCGTTGCGAGGCAATGCAATACAAAAATATAGACTTTTCTTTTGCGTTACAATTCCACGAGTGCAACGTTTAAATTAATACTGTTCGATCACCGCCTTTTAATTTGTCGCGACACGATAAAATTGCAAAAACGAGAAACAAAAATAATCTTACAAAATACTGTGTAACAAAGTGTCTTACAAAATTGTCTCCAGAGTTCGAAATTTCTCTTCGCTCCTCCATATCCTCTGCATGGTAATAATTAAAACGTTCATTCGGCGACAAAAATAGAGTATAAAAAATTATTCGGAAATCTTTAAAAATGCACTTTAATAGCACGTATATAATAGCGACACCGCGTCGGTGCTTCAATGTTTCTATATTTAACTCTGTGAAATATTAGGTAATCAAAAACGTCGGGATAAAATGCAGTTCATGATTCACAGATGCTGTCGTAAAAAAATAATTTAACCGTGAATATAAAAACGAATCGTTTCTCAATCATCGATACGCGTTTTTCCCGTTCCAATCCCCAATTCTTTCCACTTCCCGTCCTTTTAGGCGCGTACAAGCTCTCGCTTAGGACCTCTTTCACTTTTTATCTTCACGAGGATCAAGGTATCCACGCCTACGTCAGAGTTGCTTTATTAGTAAACGGACGCAAATACCTCTTTCAAAAATACAATTTCTCTAGGAAAGGTGTGTTATACTACGTTCGTTATTCGTTTAATCGTATTAATCATCGTCGCCCTGATCATTTCCGCGGACTTGAGACTGATCCAATCGAAACGTTCGATAATCGTGTGTGATCTGTGGCAAGAAAAACGCAAATCGTTATTCCGTTTTATTTTGCGCAAACGAACCGATGAACTCGCTTGGGAAATTCCCCCGTTAATTTCTATACGAATTTCGAAATCAATATACTGATGCATCGGGATTTGGCGAACTTATTTATTATCCTTGTTTCGTTATTACTTTGTTTAGACTTTAGGCAATGTTAAAGGATAATATTAAAGTTTATAGATAATATATATAAAAGTCTTGTTAATTGTGATGCATGCAAAGACACAAATGCTTCCAATGATAAAAGAGAGCTTACTGGTGATACTTTTCTCTCGCGCGCGGATTATTCCGTTTAATGTAATTTGTTCTTTAAAAACTTCGATATGTGTTTTTATTGTTTTAAAAATATACTTTTAGATATATTTCTAAATTTTTTCTAAAAACAATTTAATCGATTTGAATTTAAAGAAACACGAATGCTAAGAAATACTTTTAAAAGTTGACACGTTTTTTTTAAAACTAGTAAGATTAAATTAATCCTGATGTTTCAGTATAATATTAGATATGTTTGGCGACAATGTCTTTTCTCGCTTTCACCCGCCTCTCATTTAACTCCGCGAACTCTTCTTCGTACAAATTTCTTTCTTTCCACGCCTTCACCGACACTCCCTCTTTCTCTTTTCATTTTTTTTCCATTAATGATGACAAGTAGCACGACTCGTCCAACCGTTCAGCGACTAAGTAACGAACGTCTGGCAATTTTGTTCGCTTTCTCTGAGAATGGCTGCGCTATTGCGGGGAAAACAACGACAAGGAAAAGGCGATCGGCAAACGGATTGATCGAGGACGATGGAAGAAGGCGGTAGCAGCAGGAACGTTCTCACGGACGTTTCCTTAAAGACGGGCCGTGATCTTGTTGCTACTCCTTAACAAAGTTTTGTTTCGCTTCTATTTGGCGGACACAACGCGATCTTTGTTTCACCACTGCTGAGCCTCATCGAGAGGAAACCAATGGTAGTCGACCGACGAGATACTGGCGGTCGAATTCACGAAGGTCTCAGACGACGCCATTCTCGAGGTCACTCAAGGCTCCTGATGAGCACCGCTAGTTCGCGGAATGAGGCGCCGAGTTTGCCGGGCGTCGATTGTTTCTTCAGCAGGATCGCCCGTATCGCCGAAAGCTTCTCGTAGCAGGAAAGGCACTTGTGGTACCTGAAAGGAAAAGGAGAGAAACGCGTAAAGTTTCTATGTCGAAGACGAGGCGATGACAAAGTTACATTACATCCAGAAAATATCATCTTGCTTTTCTAGCATTCTTAAGAACAACGCAATACTTAAATATATTCTTTTGTCGTTAAATTTTTGCGCAACGTCAATATATTATAAATATATCAACAAGATAAATTAATAATTTAAAAATTGAACGTTGTTAATAAAATCAATAGAAGAAAATTCAAACAAAAATATCTAGATATAATATAATAAATAGAACTCACCGTTCCTCTCGCGACACGTCGACACCGATTGTGTGAAGAGGTGCCTCCACGTTGGATTTTATCACTGAAGCGAAATTACGAAGAATAAGTCTCAATGCCGAACAAGCTATTGTTATGTACCTGAAACAAACCCAATTTGGACAGAGGTTAATAATAATAAAAATAAACATATATCATACAGAATAATCTAAAAAATATGCATACATGACGCAGAATAATTAAATCCAATATTAAAACTAATCGAATAATATTTCAAATAATTTCAAATAATAATAAATTTATCACTATAAAATATGTAACGCGTGTGTATGTTAAAATGTAAAATGTTTAACGTTAAAATAAACTATAAATAAACTTTAGTTATGTATTTTAAGGCTATTTTAATTTTTTAAAAACCAATAAAACAAACAAGGTGCTATTATGTAATTTATAACTCGTTTGTCTAGGAATGGTTCGGACGTTCAGGGATCAAAACAATCGTGGAATGAGGATGGTAGCCGGTCTCGCAACACTGGTTCGGTCACGCCTGGTCCGTTCGGTAAAACGAGCGTTATTAGGCCCGCTAACGACGTCAATAAATAACGAAAGGCGCGAAAGGCTTGCCTGCACGATTCAGCACGCTCTCGCTTTCGGACGGACGGGCGATAAAGGGTTCAAGCTCCCGTTCGAATCGGCGAGACGAATCGCGAACAGTCTCATGAATGCAACGTGCACGACGTTGATCGACAATACCGCGTGTAATACACCGTGCACGACTCGAATTTTATGCGACTTGTAACAAAATGTGAAACCGATAGGAGAATAGTCGTAGGCTTTGAGAAAAAGTCTTCCTCGTGGATGTTTCAACTAAAATAATCTAGATTATAATTATTTAGATAGATTTAATTGATTTAAATAATAAAGAATAATATAATAATTTGAGTATATTGAAAAAAAAAAAAATTTATAAGATAATTCTTCAGAGTAAAATAGAGAAATCAGGTTGCAGAGGTCTCGTTGACTTAACCTTCGCAAGTTAATTAATATTTAATTTACTTCTATTTATCGTATTTAATCTTATCATTTCTGGCGTACTAAACACCGATACATTAATTACAACAAATTAATTTTTCTAACTTCGTTTTTATAAGTGTATAATTTATACTTCGTCAAATAATTTTTAACGTTTTACGGCAAAAAGAATGCGTTTTTTTCCAAAATCAGAAGAGATCTGTAGGGATGAAGCTGGACGGTAAAGAGGGGAACAAATAGACGACAAAGGGGGATGCGAGAAGCAATCGCGAAATTGGAAAACGATCGGGCGGAGCGCGAACCCTCCCCTGACATGTGACACGCGTCTAGACATTCTGGCCGACGATCTCTTTTTTTTTTCTCACGAGGCACGGTTCCAGGACGAAAGGCCACGACGAACGAACCGTGAAAATGACGAGCAGGCTGTATGCAAACCGTCACTACATAATAAGTCGTCCGAGATGTATATATTTACCCATGTCGATTTTGTGTCCCATCGACGATTGCGAAATCAGAATATAAGGAACCACTGCTCTTCGAAAAATACGAATTTAATAAACAAGCACAAACGTTTCCCATCTCTATCTTGCTATATTCTACTCTGTATTTCAGAAATATTTTAAATTAAAAATAAGAATTGTTAGAATCAATTATTCCTATATGATGATTAGATAGAAAGTTAGTTGGATAGTTCAAAATAATTTTTTTAACTTTCAACTTTTAAATACCAGGTAATTAAGTAGCAAAGTAGTTGTAAGAACTTTTATTTTTAATAGAATTAATAAAATTAACAAGATTACTTCATGTAAAGACAACTTTATGTTATATAAATTTGTTATGTATAAATATATATTAAGTATCTCTAATTTATTTCCGAATAGAATGGCAGGTACCAATAAATGGCTCGACGGCCTATTACGAACGAACGACAGCTGCTCAGCGGCGGATAATTAGTTTGAATTCACTTTTCATGGTATTAAGTATATATGCACAGGGTGCTAATACCGACCGCTCGACCGCTATTAACCGGTTCACTGGCATTGTTCCAGGTAATCGGCACGAGTAGTCTAATTACAATATATTTTCTAGAACTACATTGTCAAAAAAATTTTATTTTTTTTAAATAGTTCAAAGGTGTACGCAAAATAGAAATTGTAAAGAAATTGTTTATACAATCAACGTCCCACACTGAAAGAAAAAGTTGGTTGAATATGGCATAGCATTTTTAATTGGTTGCAGCGGTCAATTTTTGAAATCGTTAGCTATCGAAATTCTATACTGACATTGCGGATGGTTGCTAATTAACACAACCAAAAATTGACTGCTGCAGCCAATTAAAAATGCGATGCCATATTTTACTATCTAATTTGCTACGACAGCTAATCTTTTCTTTCAGTGCAGATTTCAAATTCTTTCAAATATAAGTAATCTCAAGTTCTAAGAAAGATTCAGATTATATCAATTAATGAAAACATACAGAGTTACAATTGTTGAAATTAAATAGCTGTTATTTCATAATGAGTGGACAGAATAAATTAAATGCTATATCGTGATCATCCTGCGTGCATTGAAATAAATACATACTTGGCAGGAGAAGACAAGAAAGAGAAGAAAGGGAAAGCTTGTTGAAGACATCAGGTGCTCGATCGAAGCCTAATTTTAGGGAGGGTTATGAGTTCATCGGAAGTTGTGTAACGATTTGCCGCCCAATAACTAATTAATTGTTAAATCAATATCAAATAATTTCCATTTCTAGATCGAGATCGCAGAGATAGAAAATTAATTATAACATAATAGAATAGCATTGATTTTTTTAACCAGAAAATAAAAATTTGTGACAAATATTATTGAAAGCTAATAATAAGATATAATAAAAATCTAATGATATATATTACAATATATACAATAAATTTAAAAAATGTATGATTAATGCATACACATATAAAACTAAGCAGATCAAAATAATTTTAACACTTTAGCAGACAAATGAAAATCTAATTTCTTCCTGCATAAAATATTTTGACAAAAATTAAATGTGGAACCAAGGGTTAATTAAGGCTTCTAAAATTCACGTGAGTGATTAGGAATCGTTATCGAATTATATCCTGATAACGAGAGGGTAGAGAGAGATTCTTGCGAGGCAACACGTGCGCAAGGAATAAAGAACGCGAGGGTGAGTAATGGTAGTTCACGATAAAAACACGGAAGGAAACAGTCGTTCCTCGTCACGACAGAGCAACAGCTTGGAACTGAGGGCAGTCGGTTAATCACCCACTTTCGTACGTCAAACGGACATAAAAGACAAGCTTCCTCCCTCCTCACTCGGATTTATAGTCGAACGGTCAGGAAGTGGCGCGTATCTGACGAGAAACCGTTTAAATTTGCTGTTATGGTATATAACAGTAATTTCAAACTTTTTCTCAAATGAAATATCTGCTTCTGTGTTAAATGTAGTCACTATGAAATTTAGTTTATAATCTGCTTCAGTAGATCACTCATTGTAAAGAGTCATTTGCTTCAGTCTTTTTAGTTTAAATAATTTCTCAAATCTAGAAATATACATACATATATATATAAAATCTACGAATTTAAATTTTTTGAAATTTTTCTTAATGTTTTAAAGCTTCTTTCTAAATTTGTAATTTTTAAATTAGAAACTATACAAATTTTTTTTGTCTAAACGTGTTCATTTAAATTTTGTTTCATGTTACTCTTCAACATGAGTCTAACTCTCAACAAATTTTAATCGGCGACCGTTTGGCATTGAAGATGACACTCGGTCGTTTTGTCTGTCCACTGTCATCGCATCGGCATATGCGAGCGTGGTGGCACTTCAGATTTCAATTCGTCTAGCGAACAATACGATTCAGCGAGCGACAGGAATGATCCGCGCATCTCGTCGCATTTGCATCTGCCGCTATCTCCCATTGTCTCGGCTAATTTCGCGCATCACCCTAACGCTCGCCTCGGGTTTCCCCGCTTCGGCAAATTAGCCATTCCCATAGTGCACCCCCATTTGAGCCCCCTTTTGGAAGGGGTGTCCGTTTTCCAATACAAATGCCGTGCGCGCGGTGTTTCGCTATTGAAGGTGAAGTAATCTTAGACGATAATAGATGCAAAGTGTGCCACGCGGAGAGCAATGAATATTCACCGTGTCATCGCTAAATATACACGCGTGATGCGACAATGAGACGCCCGATGCAATCTGATGAGAATGCAAATACGACACTGATTTTAAAGCGAATCAATCTGAAAATACGATAAGCTTGAAAAAAATATTCCGAACAAGAAAATAGATCATCAGACTACTTAAGATAATGATATAAGTCATTTGCAAAATAATCTCGCTGTTTTTATCTCAGGACGTTATAATCGAGATTATCAATAATAAAAAATTAATTATCTCGAGGACATCAGAATTTCTTAGAGAATATTAATAGGAAAATTGTAAAGCAAAATATTTCATACTCACATTTCATATCTACTTTGAAAAAGTTCACTGATAGGACCCAGTAAGGAATTACACAGATCTAAGTTCCACATCGTTCTGCGAACAGAAATTAAAAAATAATTATAAAACATACCGTGTTAATTATTATATGCAGTATATAAATTCACACCGAATTATCTAAGCTTCAGCTTGATTGATAAAGGTTTTATTCCACACTTGTTGTGTAATCACATTTATGATCTTAAGAAATTTTTTAACATTATTAAAATTATCGGGCCGATAAAACTACGTACGGTTTTAATGTGAGGATACTCAAAAGATCCACAATGACTGCTAAATCGTTCATTGCAACTGCAGAGTCCACCGCGGCCTGAAATCAATATTACGTTATATTTTTTCGCCTTATACGTCTCGTACGTTTCAATGCAAAATCAGATGAATAACAACCTTGAGATCCTTATTTTGCCAGAGGGAATAAATTATCTGTAATGAGCGATGTCGAGTCTTAAGTACTGCCATCATCGAATCGTGGCTGCGCATCATGCTGTTCAGCACCTCGGTCTCAGACATTTCCGTCAGCACACTCTGGGGATAGTCCAACGCCGCGGAACTGGTGTAACTGTGCTGCAAAACGTAAATCGAAGAGAATTAAATAAAACTTAGTAACTTTCTCGTTATATAAAGATGGAGAATTTATTATTAATTTTGTTATTTGCACAATTTATATTTATAAGTGAAAGGATTATTCACCGGTAAGAAATTTTCCACGTCCAAACCATAAGGCTTGTCGGTGCTCATCGGTACCAGTTCCTCCTTGTCTGTGACTTTCCTTATCTGCGAGAGAATCGATTTTGGGATTTGAGGGAGTACATCGATCTTGGGATTCGGTGGGACCTGAGCCTTATTGAGTAGCTTCCTCGTAGACGATGATGTGTTCGTGGAGGCATTACGCGCCGACAGCACAGTTGAGGTAGCAAAATTTCGGTTGAGCGACGTCGCCCTCGATTGCGCTGTGTTTGGCCTATTCAACGCAGGATCCGAGGGACTATGTCTTATATTATTAATTCTGCAACAAAAAGGTCATCCAAACATTGCATAGTTGTTACAGAATACAACGTTATTTCAGTATACACTGTTAAAAATGTGATGAAATTTAATGTATTTTTAAGTTACACAAATTAAATTCAATTTTATTGAATTTACACTAAATTAAATTTAATGCATCTGCAACTGAAAAATATATTTGTGTACATAAAATTTAGTGGTTTTTTCATAAAATTTTATGAAGTTTAATACATTTTTTATTAAATTTTATATAAATTTGCATAAAATTTAAAAATATAAGTAAACGTTAAATTTAAGTTACTTATAACTTCATTTTCATTGACAACATTAAATATTTTTAACGTACCTGCTTGAAATTTGCTTCCATTACATCTAACGGAAGTAAATTTCTTTTTTTAACAGTGTAATTAATTTTCAATCTTAATTAAAATTTTGTGAGCAACATATATTCTACATTCTACTAAAAGATAATTATTTTCTCTTAAAGACTGCAAACTAAAAAAAAATTATCATTAAAAATAATTTGGTCAAGAAATAAAAAGATCTTTCTTTATTAATTTCTATGCAACTTGAACGTTTTTCTATTTACTCATTAATATTTACGATAATTATTTTTCATATTTATATACTCGAAGAGAATACGTCTTCATTGTCTATTATTAAGCAAGAAGTACTTACTGTACAGGATAGTCACTTTCGTATCCCTGCTCCCCGTCTCTACTGCTCTGCCTCCTCAGGCAATGCTTCGGGGAATCCGGGCTAGGTACTCTGTTCTTCAGCTTGCCGTCGTCCATCACAGGAATTACCGCAGCCATTGGTGCAACGCGCGGCGTTAAGGTCGAGTTCGACCTTTGCGGTCCTAAGGGATGAGACGGCGCCGACATCGTTTGTTCGGTGGTGCTCATTCTCTTCCCCGGGAACGGCGTGATGTTTTGCCGTAACGGCGGTATGGACGCGAAGTTTTTGGACGCCCTTTGATTCAAGCCATTGTTCGCCTGCAGATTCGCCCTGATCTGGCTCGTCGACATGATCGAGTTCCTCTGTACCGGCGGTGAAGACTTGATCGGTTGAACACGCACCGGCACCGGCTTCGCCAAGGACAACGTGGGCGCTGGCGGGGGCGGTGAAGAAGGGGATGGCATCGATGGCATCTCCTCGCGCTCTATCGTGCTCAGATTTGACATTGAGGTAGAGAAATTTTGCAGTATCTGTGGTTGTGCCGGATCTAAAATAGATTAATAATACATCAATGACACTCGTCCTTTTTTTCTAAGAGAAGTTATTTCAAAATCACTTTAAAACAAAGTAAAAGTAATCATTTAAAGAACTTGAGACAAGTTTTTCCTGGTATAATTAAAAATATTAGATTTATAAATTAAATTTATAAATAAAATTTATCCATATTATTCAACTTTCTTGAAGTTTTCGTATTCTAACATGCATTATACCAAGATTGAATGTTATATCAATATTTACACTTTTTTGAAAGATTCTAATGCTATGGTAGTAAAAATTCCATTTCAGAACTTATATCATAACTTAGTCCAACGCAATCTGTGCAAAGGTTATCGAAACTCACCTATGTCATGAGGCTCCTGGAAAGCCTCGGGGGTTTCGGGAGGTGGTGTGCGAGACACTGCAACATATCATGCACGGCATGCTCATTCACAAACTGTACAGCGTTTGCATTCACATTTAAACGTGTTTGACATATTGTGTGTGTTCGCTAGTGATCGCGAGGGATTGGGTTAGATATTAGTCTGGAATTTTTGTCACACACGCGCGCACACACTCGGTGAACAATGAGACATTACAAGGCGGATGTAACGAATCACTTACACGCCCTGCTCGGTTGAAAAACGTCCCTGTACTCGGTTACGCTGGGTATGTCCGCATAGGTGGCCTCGTCCTCCGGATCGGTGCCGGATTTATCCGCCTCTTCTATTGTTCGTACGTCCAATCTGCAGATGTGTATAAATATATGTTACGATGATCAATTGATGTAAAAATTGGTGGTTAAAATTAAACTTTATATAAAACAAAAACGTACGTATGCTTCTTCAATCCGATCGGTCGTTCTTTGGAAAAACTCTTCCTCAAGGAATTTCCATGACTGAATGGTGAACTCACGGCAGATATTCCTCCCAGTGGTGCAATTTTTTTTAAATCGCATATATACAGAACAACATTCGCGGTATGAAGACTCGCGCCGATCTGAAAAAATTTCCTGTCTTAATAAAAATGACATCGAATGTACATATTCAAGAGTTCAAAATCTAGCATTTTGTTCTACCAATTGGTTTTGAGCTATGGCTATATCCTGGACTTTTCCCCAGTTAGTCGGTATTGTATCCAGGGTCCTACCCGCCTCCCAGCCGTAAACCTTTAAAACGTCGTGGCTACCGGCAAAGAGACATTCTCCGCCTTGACTAAAGTATAGGCATCTGAAACAGCGCGATAACAAAACAAATTAGCGTGACTGAGAAATTGCATTGTAAGATTATTGTTTTTCTAACTCACCGGATGGCCGAAGAATGACTCTGTTCCGTGGAAGATACAAGCTGAAACGATTCTAAGTCCCAGAAGTGGACAGTTCTATCGGCGCTGCCGCTGGCTAATAGAAATTCATGCGGATGAAACTCAACGGTTGTGGCCGGACCTCTGTGTTCTGAAAATTCCCTTAGTTGTCTACCAGCCTTTAGGTCCCACAGCTAATTTAAAAGTAACATAAAGGTCAATGTCTTTTATCTCACATATAAAATAGTATAGAAAAGAATGAAAATTATGTTATATATGAGATGATAAGAAGGCTTAAGATAAGACATGATAAAAATACAATTTCCTGGGATATAATATATGACTCACCTTAACCATTCCTTCCTCCCCAGCACTGGCGATCCATTGTCCATCAGGACTGAACTTTAAACTATTCACAGTCCTATTATGCCCCTTGTACGTAAAAATACAGCCTTTCCTACGGATATCCCACAATTTAATCGCCGTATCCAAACTCCCAGACGCTAGTAGCTCCCCATAAGGATGGAAGTCCATGCAACGTATCCCGGATTTGTGTCCCGTCAGCGTACGCGCCAGCTTGGCATGCTCCAAGTCCCAAATCTTCAACGCACCCGTCTGTGAGCCAGCGCATACAAGATCTTCCGTTTGGCCGAAGCGTACGCATTCTATAGGAGTAGTGTGGCCACTTAGGCTCTGAAAATAGATGAACATAAATCTCATGTAATTTTAACAAATTTAAATTCAATAACATTTAAGATATAATTTAGTGTTTATGGCTCTCTCATGAAGTAACTTTAGCTCTCTCATTTTATAATTTTAATAAATTTAAATTCAATAGCAATGTTTGAGATACAATTTAGTGTTCATTGTTCTCTCATGTAGTATGTTATTGAAATAGAAAAAAAGGTAATAAAGGTAAACATTTGTTGTACAAATCATCTATTTAATCTTGAACTGGATAAAGATAATGGAACTATTGCGCAACAATTACCATAATACAATTCTGCTTTCCGACGGCCCATAGATTCACCTTTTTGTCGTCACCGCCTGTGACCAGAACACGACCCGATTTGTGGCCCAACGCCAAGCAATTGACGTTCGGCGTATGGGCGACGAATTCCTCTGTGCCAAAAAAAAGAAGAGTATACATTTTACGCATACTGATTTATTCATGTTAACGTGATGCAAGAGAGATACAATATAAAAGATTTTATAGCATATGAATAATTTTTGTTCAGATTCATTTACTTATTAATATACAAAAGAATTATATAATTTCCTTTTTTCATATTGGAAAAAAATCAATCTATTTACTCGATAAATAAGAATCACCTGAACCTCTCAGAAGTCATTAATTCCACTTCTTGTAAATTTCTTAGTTTTATTATCAAAACAGTTTATAACTTTTCATCAATTTTTTCCACTTCTGATTTCATGGAATTGATAAGTTTGACTCCTGAGAGATTTATTTGCTCATGAAAGTACAGGTATGAAAATTCAATGTCTACCTCTGTTCCTCTTAATAAATAATTCCTCATTCTTAGGCTAAAGGTCACAAATCAATAAGTCCTGATCACATAATCGAAAATGATGAGTTGGAACAAAACAGAGATTACATATTTAGATTGAAAGATCAGCTCATTTCCACTGATAAGTAAAAATAAGCTAATAGTTTATTTTTAAAATAGTTTACAATTTTAATGAATATTCTCGATATGTATATATATATATAAATATATATTTATTCTGTTCTAAATATTTTTAATTATAATTAAAACTTACTTAATAATGATTTATGGCATTTAGCTAAGAATGGGAAGTTATTTATTGGAGAAGCAAAAATTGAACATTAAAGTCTCATGCCTGTAGTTTCACGAGCATCAAATAAATCTCTAGTCAATTATTCAATACCCTTGTCTTATTTAAAAAGAATAGAACTGTCATTCCTCCAATATAAACTGTTCATCCGTAAAAACAGGCGGAAAATCTCCGTCCATTATAATCCAGTTTCTGCTACCGTGCGCGAAAACGACTTCTCATTCTCGCCGCGGGACAAATTCCCGGTTTGTGCCAGATGTAACCATAATTGGAAGAAACTGCGAGGTAGCAGCTAAAGTGAGAAAGTAAACAGAGACTGTTTACCCGCGGAGACCTCGCGGAAAAGCAGGATTCTCGCGGAGGGAAAAAAAAGAAAGAAGAGGAGCGATGCAGCGGGAAAGAGAGAGCGTGAGAGAGCGCATGGCGCGCTCGCGCGCGCCAGGATATTCGTATTCCCATGAACAAGGATGATCTTACGGAGCTTCCAGGACCTCCTCGTAGACGAGGCCATGTTCGTGCCGCGCACGCGGACTTATTTGGCAGCGACGGCGGTCCGTGGTCCCGGTTGGCGCACGACGTACGATCTCCTCTCGCTGTTCGTGCCGCTGCGCGAACGTAACATGTTTACCAGCAGCAAACGGTAACAGCCTCCACTCTTCTCGCGGTCTCTCCTCTTTCTTCGGCGACCGGGCACCGCGGCGCGTGGCGTCGCGAGGCGTCACGTCGCGTAGCGTCGCGTCGTTGCTCCCCGCCGGGGAGAACGTAGACAAAAAAAAGAAACGCGCGACGCTGTCCCGAGAGCGCGGAAAACAGATCGCCTCTCTCTCACTCGGGAAACTGCCAGTGCCACCTTCTCCTCACTACCGTCTCGTATCTATCTCATCTCACGAACCTGTCACTATCTGTCCGTCTCCCTTTCTCTCGCTCCGCTCCGTTCCGTCCGTTTGACGGTGTGTCCGTGACGTGAACAGGTCGCGAGGTCGCGCTCACGTTTCCTCGTTAGATGGCGGTGATCGCGTTATCTATCGCCGATAAAATTAATGTTTAATCGATTATCGATAATTGCTAGTAACACTAGGATCTACTGTTACCGATCTAGGATCTATTAATCAATGTCGATAATGTTGGCGTTCTTCAATTACCTCCAGGCCCTTGAGGCCCTTTTTATACCATCGAAAATTTGCCCAAGGTTGATGGTCTTTAAGAGTGGGATTTTATTTGTGCGTTTTTGTCGTACAACAAATGTATGCAGGGATGCGTTCCGAGTTAAGCGGGGAGCACAGACTCTTGCATAACGCATAACACGTAATGCATAAGAATATGTACCAATCGAAGTTCTCCGTTTCTTTCCCTTCCATGTAATAGAGAACTCTGGTTGGTTCAATTTCTTATGCCTCGTGTGTTATGCGTTATGCAAGAGTCTGTGCTCCCCGCTTTACGCATGAAGCGCATGATGTATCATTTGTCCTTGTTGTTTACCCCGGATCTACAATAGGGTTTTAAGCCTTAAGCCATAAGAAATGGGCGAATCACAGTCGCTTATTCTTCTCGGATTCGACTGTAAAACCGGATCTACAATAGG